TGCTTCTTGAGGTTGTTGGGATTGTGTGAATTCTTCATATTTTCCTAAGTAACAAATGGATGAAGTAAGAACCATCCATGTGAATTGGTTTCTTGAATGCCTAATGTAAACACCATGCTATTAGGATTCTTGTGATGTTCATATTCTCTTTGAACTTAATGGGTTTTCCTTGTAATTGAATCGAAGTACTAAGCACACCTAGGTTCGGTTATGGGGAGGGCACGAGTATTGTAGCACTAACCCTGCACTCTACTTATTTTAGAGAGAATCATGCATCTTGAGCCACTAAACCCGGTCTTGACTGCGAACATCTTCATCAACACGTTTAGAGTTCATCACTTGAGTATTCACGAACTTGAGTAGGATTGTTTAGGGTGGATTCCGAAACCCTAGTGTTTGTTACTTTGTACTTTCATGCTTTGATAACTCATCTCTGCCATTCTCATTTAAATTTAAAGTTCATTTACTTTCATGCATTAGAAATAGGTCACTCAAATCAACACAAACCCCTCTCCCCCTCCCCCCAAATGTGTGTGTGTGTGTTTGAAACATTGTGTGTCTTCTTCACTGAATTTTGTTTGTTTCCGTAATTGTTTTTCACTTTTGGTCCGCGTTGCGTTCTTTGTTTTTCTGTGCTGAATCCAACCATATAAAGAACATGAAATTTCGACAAATGGTTGGAAAGTTATAGGCCAAACACTGAACAAAGGTCAAAGCTGAAAAACAGAGAAACGAATCTGTCCAAATGGTGATAAAAGAGTGATATAAAGTGTTGTTTGTGTTTTTCTTTGGTTTCTTGTTTTGTTTATTTTCTTTTACCTTTCTTTACTCATTTTTAGTTTCCAATTTGTATTGTGCTTGTGTGGTGTGTTAAATAAGTGCTCTTTACGTACTTAAATTAGAACTTGTAAGAAGCCGATAGTTCTTCGTGGAATCGACCCCGTACTTACATAATCTATACCTCAATAGATTCGTGCACTTGCGGGTATTTTTATAATTGGTTGTTGTTTACCCGTTTTGATTTGTTTCCGGTAATAATAGGATAAAGTTCCCCATTAATTCAAAGACCATTGTTTGGTCAATAAATTAACTTTCTTTATGTGTTGAGCGTGCCACTGTTAGCAACTTTTTCAATTCTAACAGACTCGAGAATAAAAATAACTTGCGCCCCAAGCTATTGACTTTGAACAAACGATTGTGAATTTGGGTGAGGAATATCTCCCAAGTAAGTTCTTTTCTATGCCTTAGACTGTAAGGACTTTATAATTTTCCTCAATATAAAACCGGTAGTTCTGGCCAGAATAACTAATAACAGACTGAACTAATTCCAGGCAGAACTCCCCTTTTCAAGACTCAAAAAGGGAAAACTGACTATACAAAGACAAAAAGAGGGCTGTACTTCCATTTCTGGCTGGGTAGTTGCCTCTGTTCTGGACTGGACTGGATGTTAAACAACTTCAAGTGCTGGACTCCGGCTGCAAATCGATACCAAAGCTTGATTTTGGTAGAGCTTTAATTCATTTCAAACCCTGGAAGGCTTTTGGATGGGCAGAACTGGGACTTCTCCAGTCTGAAAGGGACAGAAGTGGCTGGACTTGAGCTGGAGGCGTACTGTGGTACCTGTGCTGCTTAGTCAGGGCTCTCCATAAATTTGTTGAGTTTTTCGTTTTGAGAAAACTCAAATTCTGCTTGTCTTGGCTTTTGCTGAACCAAATTTGTAACGAGAGAAATCTCGTTATTGTTGACTTGTGAACTGGGATTCAAATCCGAAACAGTATTCTAACTGTCTTTGTTGGGAGAAAAAAAG